AGCTGGGACTACAGGTGTGTGCTACTAGACCGAGCTAATTTTTTAGTGAGACAGGGTTTTGCCGTGTTGGCCAGGCTAGTCTCAATCTCCTAGCCTTAAGTTATCCACCCACCTCAGCCTCCCAAAATGCTGGGATTACAGGTGTGAGCCGCCGCACCCGGCCAGGATTCTCCCTGACTTCTGACATGGTTTAGCTTTACACAGGCTGCTCATGGCCTGTGGTAGCATCCTCAGCTGCCAAGGTTCAGTGTAAGTGTCACCTTATCCAGAAGATCTGGCCCAGTCGCCTTTTCTACCCGTCTGGGTACCGAGCTGCTCCTAAATGCTCCCAGGTACCCCAGGTATACCTCCTGTGTTATATCACTTGTGCCCTCCTGGGTTTTCGTCTCCTGTTGCTCCTTAGGTGACAGCACCCTGAAGGCAGAGGCTGTGCTTTGTGTAGCTGTGTCTTTATTGCATGCATGGCTCACTTTCTGGCCCCAGGAGGCCCTCCCTCAGAAAGCATCCACTCTCGAAATATCCTTCATGGGATCCACTGATTGGCAGCCTCAAATAAGTAAGAGAGACTGAATTTTAAAAGTCCTTGCAAAGGCCGAGCACGGTGGCTCACGCCTGTAATCTCAGCACTTTGGGAGGCTTAGGTGGGTGGATCACGAGGTCAGGAGATCAAGACCATCCTGGCTAACACTGTGAAACCCTGTCTCTACTAAAAATACAAAAAATTAGCCGGGCGTGGTGGCATGCACCTGTAGTCTCAGCTACTCGGGAGGCTGAGGCAGGAGAATCACTCGAACGCAGGAGCAGAGGTTGCAGTGAACTGAGATCGTGTTACTGCACTCCAGCCTGGGTGAGAGCAAGACTCCTTTTCAAAAGAAACAAAAAAACAAAAAAACAAAAAACAGTCCTTGCAAATGACTTATTTACATAGAGCCTAAATTAAAATTTAGAATCACAAAACACCGCATTTTAGGACCTGGAAAGGATTTAGGAGTTATCTAGGAGGGAAGTTCTTTTCAATCAACGGTTGGTGGACTAGTACAAGTCCGAGACAGTTTTCACACCCTAGGGCAAAATGAGAAAAACATGAGCAATGGAGCAGACCAAAAAATCAGGTTAAATGCATTAGGTTTAGTGATGCTTTCTTATTCAGAGGTTATGTTGCCCTCCTCCCATTGAAAGGTTATTTATGAATGGTATGCTAGTAGGTGGTGCTGCTTTGTTTTTATTTCCTTGGTAACCTTGCATTAGTTGTTATTTCCTTCTTGATTTTTCTTTTTAGTTTAATTGGTCTATTAAATCTAAAAGTCTGGAAACCCTAGCTCTTGTGTCTTTCCCCTCAGAACTGAGATCGAGAGAGATGATGACTTTGCCCATAAACCAAACAAAGAAATACATGTTTCAGTCCTGGGTCCTTCTGCTATGGTATGTAGTGCAGTTGTGTACTTTAAACAATATTGTCTATATTTAGTGTGATTGGTTTTCTGTTCAGCATTTTAAATTCAGAAATGAACCAGTCAGTTAACATATTTGTTGTACTGCAATTGGAAACAGGCTTTCTCTCTCAGAAGCGTCTATAACCATATGGTATTACTGTCTGTCAGTATTTGGTGAGGTTTTAAGACGTGAGAGTCCTGAAGTTATATATTAAATATATGTAATGTTATTATTGACTTTGATATGAAAATAAAGACTGTTCTCTTTTAATTTTTGAATGCTAAGTTTGAATATGCTGTAAGCACCTTAAAAAAAAAGAATTTAAATGATTGAATTTGGCTATTGCTGTAATTCTGCTTTTTTTTTTTTTGAGACGGAGTTTCGCTCTTGTTACCCAGGCTGGAGTGCAATGGCACGATATCGGCTCACCGCAACCTCCGCCTCCTGGGTTCAGGCAATTCTCCTGCCTCAGCCTCCTGAGTAGCTGGGATTACAGGCACGCGCCACCATGCCCAGCTGATTTTTTTGTATTTTTAGTAGAGACGGGGTTTCACCATGTTGACCAGGATGGTCTCGATCTCTTGACCTCGTGATCCACCCGCCTCGGCCTCCCAAAGTGCTGGGATTACAGGCAATTCTGCTTTTTAACATCTGAATACTGTTCATCTGAGAAATTCCGCTTCTAAGAGCTTATCATACGAAAATAATGAGAGATACATTGTGCAGAGATGTATGCATAAAGATGTTCCTTAAAGCATTTCTGTTAAAGATCAGAAATATCATAAATGCCCAATAATAGGAAATTGATTAAACACATTTTGTTGTAGTCATTCAATGAAAAGTACTTTGGTTACTAATAAAAGTACTTTGGTTACTGTAGTGGCCCCTTGAACAACATGGGTTTGAACTCTGCAGGCCCTTCCACCTCTGTTACCCTTGAGGCAGCAAGGCCAACGCCACCTCTTCCTTTTCCTCCGCCTGTTCAATGTTAAGACTATGAAGATGAAGACTTTTTTTTTTTCTTGAGACAAAGTCTCACTCTGTCACCCAGGCTGGAGTGCAATGGCATGGTCTTGGCTCACTGCGACCTCTGCCTCCTAGGTTCAAGTGATTCTCCTGCCTCAGATTCTCAAGTAGCTGAGATTACAGATGCGTGCCACCACGCCTGACTAATTTTTGTATTTTTAGTAGAGATGGGATTTTGCCATGTTGGCCAGGCTGGTCTTGAACTCCTGACCTTGTGATCCATCTGCCTCAGCCTCCCAAAGTGTAACTCCCAAAGTGCTGGTATTACAGGCATGAGCCACTGCACCTGGCTGAAGATGAAGACTTTTATGTTGATTCATTGCTACATAACGAATGGTAAATATATATTCTGTTCCTTATGATTTTCTTAGTTACATTTTCTTTTCCCTAGCTTACTTTATTGTAAGAATACAGCATGTAATACTTTTAACATACTAAATATGTATTAATTGATGGTTTATGTTATCTGTAAGGCTTCTGGTCAGCAGTAGGCTGGCATTACTTAAGTTTTTGGGAAATTGAAAGTTATCTGCAGAATTTTAACTGTGGGATTTGTGGGAAATAGGCACCCTTAACCCCTGTGCTGTTCAAGGGTCAACTGCATTTTCATCTTTTATGTTCTTGTCTGAATTTTCTGATTTTATCTACCGCAATTATGTTGTACTTATACAACCAAAAAGTGATAAAATTTGACTAGCTCAATGCTTTGTACAGAATAATGTTCCTTGTTTTTCATTTGCTTTTTTTCAACTTGACATTGTTGATTAATATAATTTGACAGCCAAAGTTCAGTATATGCAGACTCTTCAGTTTTAATTTTTCAGTTTCACCTTTTACATCTTCCATTTTTATGCAGTTTTTCTTTTTAACACCTGAGACTGAACTACTGTAAATCAGCACATAGTCCAATGGGAAGCTGTCATTTTCACTTCCAGCCCTATGCTCTCATGCAGGTTCTTATTGGAGGTTCTAATTAAGTATCAATAGGGACAAGCAGCATAAACTCAAAGATCTAGAAGACATTCAGAGAAGTAATTGTCTAAATAGTTCTTTTTTTTCTCTAGACCCAATAGCATCTTAGCTCAGTGTAGGAGTATTGGCCATGGCATTTTCTAGGCTTGCAGCCCCTTGGCCTAAAAATGAGAAAGAATAGCATCCTTAGTGTTTCTAGCCCCAGAGTAGTTTCCTTGAAAAGGGAAGATAGTAGGAGCCTGAGCATATCATGGCTATGTATGCCTGTGTATGTGCCCACTTGTGTGTGTGCCAGAGAGGGAGGGAAGGTGAGTTGGAATGGGTGGAGGGGTTTCTGGTGCCTTTGGCACTAGGTTAGTTTGCCCTTTTATAGCTCACAATCTCCAGTCTTCCTAATAGCTATCCTACTTTTAAATAAAGAATTATGCCTGTAATCCCAGCACTTTGGGAGGCTGAGGTGGACAGATCACCTGAGGTCAAAAGTTCGAGACCAGCCTGGACAACATGGCAAAACCTCATCTCTACTAAAAATACAAAAATTAGGCCGGATGTGGTGGCTCATGCCTGTAATTCCAGCATTTTGGGAGGCCAAGGTGGGCAGATCACCTGAGGTCAGGAGTTCAAGACCAGCCTGGCCAACATGGTGATACCCCGTCTCTATGAAAAAAAAAATTAGCTAGGTGTAGTGGCACATACCTGTAATCTCAGCTACGTAAGAGGCTGAGGCAGGAGACTCGCTTGAACCTGGGAGGCAGAGGTTGCAGTGGGCCAAGATCTCGCCACTGTACTCCAACCTGGGCAAGAGTGAGACTCCATCTCAAAAAACAAACAAACAAAACAAACCAAAACCCCCCAAAAATTAGCCAGGCATGTGGTGGACGCCTATAATCCCAGCTACTTGAGAGACTGAGGCAGGAGAATCACTTGAACTCAGGAGGTGGAGGTTGCAGTGAGTTGAGATCACACCACTGCACTCCAGCCTGGGTGGCAGAGTGAGACTATGTCTCAAAAAAAAAAAAAATTACTTGTTGTACATCTGATTCTCTAGATTGGAAAAGATGCAAGGGCAGAACCATGTCTTTTTGCCTTCCCCACTATTTCTCAGGGCCTTTTTGTATATGCAGTGAAGATTTCATAAATATTTGTTGAGTAAATGCCAGTATGGGTCTTAAAAACCTATCTTTCTCCCTTTCCTTTTTTTTTTTAACCTTGGCTAACAGCTTCTATGGCCTTTGTAGTTTTTCTTCTTCTTCTTCAAGCCGTTTCTAGAAGAGAACTACACCATTAGCCTGGAGAAGGTACTGGGCTGCTTCTGCAGCAGAACGTAGGCCCACCCTCCATCTGTAGCTATCTCAGAATCGGGGATCTAGGCCTCTGCCTTGTTTATGGATTGAGGTTTGCTTTTAGCTGTTCCTATGCTCTAGGTAGTTCTGTGGCAAAAGCCAAGAATCTGTCTCAAGGTCTGCAGTAACATAGGGCTGTCCTAAACACAGTTGCCTTATTAGGAAAACTGATTAGGATGAGAACAACCATCTTTAATTTGTGCAATGTACTGTGTTTTATCATAGGAGAGCATGGTGAAAGCAGAGGGTTTCTACCCTGGAGGACCGTGCATGAATGCCAGCTCTGTGGGCCCTCAGAATCTACTGGCTGAATGAATGAGTGAAGGCTGCAATGTCCTCAGCGCTGCTGTCTGTCACCCTGTGTTTGAGGTGCTGTTTCAGCTATCATTCGTCCAGTTAAGAATTGGAAATGAGTGCTATTTATGACAAAGGTGACACTTTGCTCATCCTTCCCCCAAAATTACAGTTCCAAAATTTTCTATACACTCCTTCTAAATTGGATGGCAACTTGCCCATTTTCCTTTTCGAAATGTACCAAAATATTAACATTGGTGACCACGGGCTAGGGAGTATGATCTTAATAAATTTACAAATCTTCTGATCAACCATAGACTTTACAAATATAACAAATCAATTTTTTTTTTATAAAATGCTATATATATGTGTGTGGTTTGGTCTTGCTCTGTCGCGCAGGCTGGAGTGCAATGGTGCGAACTTGGCTCACTGTAACTTCCACCTCCTGGGTTCAAGCGATTCTCTGGCCTCAGCCTCCCAAGTAACTGGGATTACAGGCATATGCCACCATGCCTGGCTAATTTTGTATTTTTAGTAGAGATAGAGTTTCACCATGTTGGCCAGGCTGGTCTCAAACTCCTGACCTCAAGTGATCTACCTCCTTGGCTTCCCAAGTTGCTGGGATTACAGGCGTGAGCCGCCACACCCAGCCCAATGCTCTACTTTTTAATCAGTGTTTTCTATAATATGGATTTTTGCTATGTGCTTTAGAAATTAGAGAACAAATCGTGATAATATATGCTAAACTTAAAATTAGTATGCCTCCTTTTATAGACAACAAGAACTTTGTCACTTCCCAGTTTGTCTTGTCATTCAGAAGGCTCAGAGCTACGATCTGTGCCCACTTGTGCTGCCTGTTCTTAACTTTGATTTCCTGAAGCAGCGATTTCGTCTCCATTTCCCCTCATCACCTTTTTCTTTTAACCATTTAACAACAGCATTACATTTTGTTGAAAGTGGCCTCAAATTCTTTTTGGTAGAAGGGAAATTGTAATTTGAGAGAAGAACATTTTCCTAACTATTCTCAGGTGCATTTAAGGGCTGCATTTCATGATGCTATCAATGCCTTCTTTCAGCTCATAGGATATCAGCCCTCTTAATGAGCCTGATGTTGTTAGTATCACAGGAACTGGAAAATATGCACATTATGCTGGAGCATTAGAATGCAACAGAAAGAGCCCTGGGCTTGGAGTGTGCGGAACTGGTTCTTGTTACAACTCCTCTTCCTAGCGGAGGAAGTTACTTAGCCTCTTTGGACAAGTTATTAACCTCTCTATGCCTCAGTTCTCTTCTATTGGGTATAAATCACGTGTGGTACCTACTGCAGTGGGTTCTCATGATGTGAAATGACATAATGCATGCCAGTGTGTTTTGTAAACTTTGCAGTTGTCTGCACTTTTGTGTCCCCCACAAGTCTGTAAGTTTCTCAGCATCAGAGACTGCATCTTGTTCAGATGCGTGCTCCCAGGGCCTAGTTTTGGTTGACTTAAAGATGCACTTTTAGAGAAGGTCCTGGCCGGGCGCGGTGGCTTATGCCTGTAATCTCAGCACTTTGGGAGGCTAAGACAAGTGGATCACGAGGTCAAGAATTTGAGACCAGCCTGGCCAACACGGTTGAAACCCTGTCTCTACTAAAAAGATAAAAATTAGCTGGGCATGGTGGCACATGCCTGTAATCCCAGTTACTCAGGAGACTGAGGCAGGAGAGGAGGCGGAGGTTGCAGTGAGCCGAGAGGTTGCATTGAGCTAAGATCATGCCACTGCACACCAGCTTGGGCAACAAAGTGAGACTCCATCTCAAAAAAAAAAAAAAAAAAAAAAAAATTAGGGAAGGTCCTAAATGTAGCTGACACTATGTGATTCTTTGTTTTCTTGCAGAAAAGCCTACTGGTGTTTATTAACAAACCAGATCATTGGTCAGCTGGGTTTTATTAACAAACCAGATTATTGGTCAGTTGAGTGCCTCTGTGTGCGTTCTCTTGCCCCTAGGGTGTTCAGCTGAGGAAGAAGTATGGATGATGAACACAGAAAAATGGAAACACACACATTATAGATTCATATGTGTCTGAAGTGAGAAAATGGTGACTTAAGGGAAAAATCTGCTTCTAGATATGCTCTCTTTGGTTCAAACACTAATTTTTAAAAATGTAAACCAACAATTTAAAATCTGAAAGTTTGGATTTTGCTTTCTCTTGAAAATATGAAGAGCTGCTCACACCAAGTCAGGCCCTCCATGGAGACAATGGAATAGTGTAGCACGGCTGCAGCCTCTTCAGGCATGCCCTCACTTGCTTACCATGGAGGTGGCCCCATCACTCCTCATCATCTGTCGAACACCAAGGCACACAGGAACCGCCATTACCATCGCACTTGTGCTTGCACTTAGGTATCATTTATTGCATACCAGGCAGTAGTCTGAGCACTTTGGTTAACTATTGTCCATCCGTCTCTGTCTATCTGTCTATCTATCCATCCACCCGCCCACCCGCCTGCCCGCCCGCCTGCCTACCTACCTACCTACCTACCTGTCTATCTTAAAGGTAAGGAAGGCTGGGTGTGGTGGCTCATGCCTGTAATCTCAGCACTTTGGAAGGCCAGGTGGATGGATTACTTGAGTCCAGGAGTTCGAGCAGCCTGGCCAACATGGCAAAACCACGTCTCTACAAAAAACACAAAAAATTAACCAGGTGTGGTGGCACGTGCTTGTAATCCCAGCTACTTGGGAGGCTGAAGTGGGACTATTACTTGTGTCTAGGAGGTCAAGGCTTCAGTGAGCCATAATCAGGCCAGTGCACACCAGCCTGACCAACAGAGCAAGACCTCATTTAAAAAAAAAAAGGCCGAGTGGGTGGCTCATGCCTGTAATCTCAGCACTGTAGGAGGCCAAACTGGGTGGATCACCTGAGGTCGGGAGTTTGAGAGCAGCCTGGCCAACATGGTGAAACCCCATCTCTACTAAAAATACAAAAATTAGCTGGGCATGGTGGCGCACATCTGTGATTCCAGCTACTCGGGAGGCTGAGGCACGAGAATTACTTGAACTTGGGAGGTGGAGGTTGCAGTGAGCCAGGATTGTACCACTGCACTCCAGCCTGGGTGATAGAGTAAGACTCTGTCTAAATAAATAAATAATAAATAAAGGTAAAGAAAGTGAGGCACAGTTAGTGTGTGGTGGTCCAGGATTCACACCCTGGCTATCTGGTCCTCCAAGTTCTTCCTCTTAACCACTCAGCTATTCGAATCTCAGTACTCCTGTTGTGGGAAAGATATCAGGCATCAAGCCTAATAGAAGTGTAAACTTGTACCTAAGACTCTTTTCCAGGACACCGTGTTCTGTTGAATTAGAGAAGGACTCATAAAAGTAGTGATTTTGTAGAACTTATTTTTATTTTTTTGAGATGGAGTCTTGCTCTGTCACCCAGGCTGGAGTCCAATGGCACGATCTTGGCTCACTGCAACCTCCACCTCCTGGCTCAAGTGATTCTCCTGCCTCAGCCTCCCGAGTAGCTGGAACCACAGGCGCCTGCCACCACGCATGGTTAATTTTTATATTTTAAAGTAGAGGTAGCGTTTCACCGTGTTGGCCAGGCTGGTCTTGAACTCTTGAGCTCAGGTGATCCACCCGCCTCGGCCTCCCAAAGTGTTGGGATTACAGGCATGAGCCACTGTGCCTGGCCAATTTTGTAGAATTTTAAAGATAAAAAGTCTAGGCCTGTTAAACGCACCATGCAAAGGCCTCTTTGGGGATCTGGGAGTAGCACAAACAGAGAAAGCAAGGTTAACTTCACTGAAGACGGGTGCAGACAGAAGATAAGCAGGAGGGGAGCTGCTGCAGCGAAGACCCACGACTTGTAGCTCAGATCAGATACCTGAGGTAAGTAGACTGGCCTGGGTGCGTTAGGGAGGGCGGCAATAAGGCTGAAGTCCTGTTTGACCAAGGTGATGGGAGCTGAATCGGCATTCTTACAGGAGGCCTGTTGAACTTCATTCATTGCTTTCACAACATAAGAAAGTCGATTTTGTAACACAGGTGTCCCTATAATACTGGCCTGACTGTTTACTTCTGCTTCAGTCCCTGAGCATATGAGCAAATACTTCAGGCACTATAACGAGCAGAAACTTGAGACAGAGCTTATCTTGTAATGCTGGGTGTTGCATCATATCCAGGGTGTGGTGTTACTTTAGAAGGCAAGTTAAATAATTACGTGTTTTCAGACTGAGCAAACAGTGCATGTGCTCTGAGAAGGCTAAGGACCTATACTTTGAGAGCCCAGTAAATTAACTTATGCAGTGGGATGGTAGGCTCATACCTGACTGTGTGAAATGGTCTCAATATATTACATATAATACACACACATACATATCTATCTACATACATATATATGTATATGTGTGTGTATGTATAGATATATACATATGCAAGTGTAAGTAGAGATATATACATATGCTTATGTTAAATATTTATGTATCACCTTGTATATAATTATACTTACTTACAGAACAGCCCTGGAAAGCTTGGAGATGTTAAGTGAATCAATCAAAGCTAATTCAGGCAAGACTCAGTCATTGGCCCACCCAATGTGTACTGTCTTTGTGATATGTGATATATTTAATATAGTATTTTTTCTTTTTTTCTTTCTTTTTTTTTTTTTTTTTTTTTTTTTGAGACAGAGTCTCACTGTGTCACCAGGCGCCAGGCTAGAGTGCAGTGGTGTGATCTCGACTCACCACAACCTCTGCCTCCCGGGCTCAAGCAATTCTCCTGCCTTAGCCTCCCAAGTGGCTGGGACTACAGGTGTGCACCACCATGCCCAGCCAATTTTTGTATTTTAGTAGAGACGGGGTTTCACCATGTTGGCCAGGATGGTCTTGATCTCTTGACCTCATGATCCACCCACCTGAGCCTCCCAAAGTGCTGGGATTACAGGCCTGAGCCACTACACCCGGCCAGTACTTTGTGTTGATGTTCCCTAACAACATAATAAAGTGAAAGAAATTAATGTTGAAAAGCATTAGGGTCACCCTAAACTCCCTTCTTTAAAAAATACAAATCTGACATTCTTTTATTAGTTATATTATTCTCTTATTCTATTATAATTAATTCGTTACATTCTTTTAAATAGCTACATTTTTATTCTCTTATTCCATTATTATTTCTTTCTCTTGGACAGAGAGATCGGAACTGTGTCTAACCCAGTGTTTTTAATAGCGTTTGTGAGATATTGTCATGTAGTAAATGTTCATAAGCATCAGTAGTCATGATCTGGAGCCCCACCCCTGCCTGTTCTCTGTTTCCTTGGTTTATTGCTCTT